GAATTTTGATTTTGAGTAAGTCAAAACTTCGAATTGTTATGAAAATGCAAACAAAATCAAAGATTTCAGAGTGAAAAATGGATTTTTTTTTAGCGGAAGCCTGCAGCAGTTTGTGGTTTCCTTTTTTTTCAAGCACTTGAGTTTTTGATGCAAAATCGAATAAGCGTATCAGATAATATTTCTGGTGGAGATCATTCTTTAAGAGTGCCTGTAATTCGGGATAAGTTAGTGAAGGTCACGGGACATCTGAAAAAGACGGAAACATTGTCAGATGCTTCTGTTGCGAAAACTATTAATCTAATCTAGTCCTCTAAGTTGTGCTAATGATAGCCTTTCTACTTACTTCGATCGGTGGTGTACGGCGTGCCGCCTGTCCTTTTCATCTTCTGAAGGGTCTATTATCTTAACGGTTTTCCCAATAAAAGTACTTGGTAGAGCTTTAGCCGTTTTGGGAAAATGCTCCTGTTTCGTAATGAGCATCACCAAATCATCCCGAATGTAGCCAGCTACTCTTATACAGTAATGAGGCGCCTTACGTACTAGGGGGATCCTAATCTTATCCATTCCAAATACTAAAAATTTTGAAGAAATTCGTGTATGTAGCAGCAATGTGAACATGTTCTATTATTGATCCACTAAATATATTCAATACTAACATAGTTTAAAAAATTTTTCAGGATAACAGGAAATATTGGTGGTCAAATTGAAGTTATTCTACCGATTATCCTTAATGGTATTGTACATATCAGTGCGCATCAGGTCTTGCTAATTGCATAAACAAGAAAAACTTCTTTATAATTAAAAGAAGTAAACGAAGCGATTGTTCAAAAAGCGTTGCATTTGAAATCTATGGCATTCTTCCACGTTGCTAGAATACTGAAGGATTTCTTTTGCACTGGGAAATGCAGTTATCCGCAGAATGCAGTTTGATGGTTTTGATTCTTTTAGCAAGAAAACCGCTATCCCCAGAATTCGTTTCGCATTGGTATCTGCGCAAAAGAGGATGTAAAGTTGTTGCTAGATTATTTTTGTATAACAGTCGAAAGAAAAATTCACCAACACTCTCACAAAAAAAGATGAAACTCGTTTGGAATGTTGTGAAACTTGAGCCAAATTTTATTTTTTTTTTATTGTCAAGGCTCGAACTGAGGCAAATTTGAGGTGTCAGTG